GGACTCGTCCCCTTCCTTGGGCAGTCCCTTCCACTGCCTGGCAGCCCTTTGGGGAAGGAATTGTTCCCCATGGCCAACCTCACCCTGCCCTGGCACAACTTGAGGCCGCTGCCCCTCGTCCCATCGCCCCTTCCCTGGGAGCAGAGCCCGACCCCCCCGGCTTCCCCCTCCTCTCAGGCAGTTGTAGGGAGCGATGAGGGCTCCCCTCAGCCTCCTCTGCTCCAGGCTGAACCCCCCCAGCTCCCCCAGCCGCTCCCCAGCAGCCTGGGGCTCCAGACCCCTCCTCACCTTCCTTGCCCTTCTCTGGACACGCTCCAGTCTAATTGATCCATATCTCTGGTCATCTCCCCGCCTTCAGTGGTGAAGGGCCTAGTGGTTATAAAGTTCAGAGATTTCATGCGTATCTTCTCTGTCCTAAGCAACAAATAGCTGAAGTGCAACCATTGCTGGGTGGTTGTGGTGTGATGAAGAGTTTTTAAAAGCAGCATGTGCCAAGTAGGCAGTCTCTCTGACCTGTGTGGTTTTGTGGTTTTAATGTTTACCTTCCCCTACTGGGTCATTCCACATTCTGTGATTTTTTTCTAATAACGTAGATGCCAGTGGGTAAGGAATTTAATGTATGGTTATATTTTAGAATAAAGAACTGGAACAAAAACTACAGATTGCAACAGAAGCATTGAAAAAGAGCAAAGAAGTAGCTGCTGATCAGGATCTGGAGATCCAGAAGTTGGTGAGTATGATGTTTCACTGACCAGTGGCAGATCAGCATCCCCAGAGACACTCAATTCTCTGTGTTTGTTTCATTACTCAAGTGTTTTCTTGCTGTTTGTCTCCTAAACTAGTGTCTGTATACGAGTACGTAACGCTGCTGCCAAAGGAATAGTGTTGCTTCCGTTTGAGTATATGTCACATGGAATAGTGTCCAATTCTTGTCAGAGCTTCAGAATACCATTAACGTAGTGTTCTTTATTTCTCTTAAGCAAACTGATTTAGAGGATGAAAGAAGTAAACTACAGCAACAGATTTTAAGTGAGAAACATCAGTGCGATCAGAAAATTACTGGGCTGGAGTCTCAAATTGCTGCTCTTCAAACAGCTTGGGAATTTGATAAAGCAGCTACTCAGCACAAGATCGTAAGTACAGAAACTGTTCAGCGGGCCATGTGAGTCTTCACAAAATGATTTTAACACTGCTTGTAGACCTTGCACGTTGTCTGAATGTTCTTATTCAGTGCTCCCAGCATTACAATGGAAGATCTCATACTTAGAGAAACTAAATATGAACACAGCATTTGAAGTATTAAATCGTTTAAACAAAGCATTAGAATAATTGTGCTTAGTATTTAAGCAATCTTTATTTTACAGAGCCAGCTGGAAAAGGAAAATGAAAATCTTAATGGAAGCAGAGAAGAGTATGAGAGTTCTTTAAAAAAACAAGAGTCTGAATTGAACAGGCTAAAGGTAAGGGCTTAATTGGTTATTGACATTGGTTAAATAAAGAGCCGAATTTGAGAAAGTTAACAGCTAAGTGTATTACATTTTCAGTACTCGGAGTCACATTACATTCAGATTGCGTGTCCTTACAGCTGTAAATCATCTTTTGGTACTCAGTGCAAATGCATTTGAGGAGCATTTCAAATGGCTGATCCTTTTCTGAAACAGAATGCTTGGGTCTGCCTAAATCAGGCAGAAATAATACATTCCGGTATTGTCAGGCATGAGGAGCTTTTAAATCCTGTTAGCAGTAATGAATACAGAGTAGTTCAACATCAAATTCCATTCACAGTATTCAAAACAAAAGTTAAAAACTTAAGTTGGCCAGGTGTTTACAGCTTATACTCAGTCTTTGACTGTAATTTTAGATTGTTGAAGGTGGGTTTTTTTTTTTTCTGTAGCTATTCTTGGATGCACAACTGGAATAAAGATCAGTTGTAGGAAGGAGCTACTTCTTTGTAATAGAGACTTCAGGCTAAAAGATCTTGTAAGCATTGGCTATGTTTGGCCTCTTTCCTCAGTTCTGTGTTGCTCTTACATGTGCAAATAGCAGCAGTGCAGTAAAACAGAACAGTAACTCTCATTTGGAAGCATAAGTCATGGTGTGTTAGAACACCCATAAATTCTAGTTGCTAATGGATTTGGGCTTAAAGGTGAGAGACTGACATGATTTTAGCTGTCTCAGGTAACCTCTGAATAACTTCTGGTTTGCAGAATGAATTGAGCAGCAGAGAGACTGTCAGCGTTGAAATTGCCAAAGCGTTAGAAGAAACACGAAAACAAAGAGAGGAATTACAGCAGCAGGTTGGTTAATACTGACAGTCTATAAAATACATTTCGGTGCTCCCCACCTTGCACAGACCAGACTAGATTTGGACTTAATTATCACAACAGTCAGGAACATTAATCAGAATCATATCCTCATCATGCAAGACTGAGGTTGCCTCAGTAAACTTGAAACTTAAGGGTGTCTATGTAAAAGCCTGCACAGGAATGTAATCAACTTAGGTGAGTTATTCCAGTGGAAGAATGTAAAATGTTGCTGACTACAAAGTTAAGGATATTCCTAAGTTTGTAGGCTCAAGAGTTACGGCAGGTTGTGGCAGTTTGTCTTAAAGAAACCTACTCGTTCTGTTGTTGTTCCTTTCAGTGCTTATGTCACAGCTTTGTCCCTCTGGAGCACAGCAGTTCCAAAACTGTACATTTCCTCGTAGGGAGGAGGTTGTATCCAGGAACCAAATATAAATTCTGGGTAGTCTTGTTTTGCTCTTCTGTTACCAAAAACTGTCATGGTGGATAATGCGAGCTTGTGTTTGCTTAAGCTGGGAACTGCCAGCTGAGCAAATTTGACTGAATTTAGTCCCCTCTTTTGGATTCTTTATTCTTCTAGGACTGCTGTAGATCTGTGCCTGCTTAGTCCGGCTGTATGTAAAAGGGTTATAAGGCCATCTCTGGTTTTGCTCAGCGGCTGTTTTACAGCTGCCACCTGCTGGTTATGAGGCAATTCTGTAATTGTGGCACAGAGTTTATCAGAAGTGACGTGTGGTTTAGCTCTCGCAGCACATTGACTTCAGTGCTTTTTAATGAGGTCAGCATTATAGAGGTGATGCCTTCTGTGAGTCTGTGGATAGATCACAGACATCCACTTGTATTATCTGTAATGCTAATGCTGCGCAAACCACTTTTTCAAGGTGTTGTGTGGCCTAGCACAGAGCTCAGGCAGCCCCTGCCAGTTGTAGATACCAGCCACTGCCTTTGTCCCTGATACAAGAATTCTTCTCCAGTCCTTCCCACAAAAAAAAAAAATTCTGAACCTCTGAGGTATGTTGAAGTCTTTTGATACCCTCTTCTAGTTATATATCTTTAATGACTTGTTTGTTTGCCTCCTTTGAAGGTTTCACATCTGGCTTCCTTAATAAAGGAAAAAGACCAGCTGATTCATGAAAAATGTGATATGCTTCTAAAACAGAAGGAAGAACTAAACCAACTCAGTCAAGGTTAGACCAAACAAGTCTACTGTATCCCAGACAGCTTTATCTGAGTACAGCCTCTAGTTCTGGGCTTGTCTGATGGATTTTAATAATTGTAGATTTTGCTTCCATATTTAATATATTAGAATTTTCAAACTCTTGTATCCTTCAGTAACAACTGGACAGTCTCTGCTGTGTCCTTAAAAACAAACCCTCTTTTTCTAATCAAAGTCTTATGTTCATACACCATAAAATAACAAATCTTGCTGTACTTTTTGTAAATGATTATTTTGCGCAAAACATGAAACAAATGGTACAGACCAAAAACTGCCACTTCATTGCACCACTTTAAAAACTGCACTTGCTTGAAAGATTACGTACATTCTTAAAGAGCAGCTGCAAACTGATATTCCAGTCACACTACAAAATGAAGAGCAGTCATCTTCATTCAGTTCCTAACCCCACCGTGTTTCTCTTGGGTGTTGCCGTTATTTAGAAAGGGAGTGGAACTGTGTAGCCTCCTGTTGCCCCATTCCATTGGCTAGCCATGTGTCGGTAGCCATTTGTGCCAGCTAGCCATTTGTGCTCGCAGCTCGGCCCCGAGTGTTCCTGTGCAGTCGCAGCACAAATCACACAGACTTTTGATAGTTTTTAGAGCAGGTATAATTGATAATTATGTCGTTCAGTATTAAAATCACTCTGGCTTTCAGACAGTTAGGCTGCTCCTTTGGAAAAACGTGCACGTGAGCTTGGGTGGCTTAAATTCCACCATCTTTCTGTCTTTACGACACAGCAAGGCAAAAAGGTCAGGATTTACTGTCACTGTAACTTGCTTTGTTTAAGAAAAATAATTAGAAACTCCCATTTGATTCAGCAGACTGATACTAAGCAGGTCTCTCCTTTCTCAGATCATGAGGCTGTCTTGCTGCAAATGCATCAGTTGCAGTCTGACATCGAAGCAAATAATATCCGAGCAGTGGAGAAAGAAGAAACGGCAAGGAAGGAAATTGATGAACTGAAGTTGCAGATACAGTCGTGTCTGTTGGCCAGTGAACATGAGAAAAATGTGAGTGCGGCTGTAAATCTGATCTGTTCAGACTTCTCGGGGAAAATAAGCAGATGTGCAGGAGACCCCAGTTCTGCCAGGCCTGGCGATATGTGCTTGGAGCTGTTCACTCTGACAACTTGCTCATGACCTGAAACACCAGCAGTGCAGACCACCATTATTTGTCTTCCTAAAGAAAGCCGTTTGCTGTCAGATCTGTGACTGGTTTATGAAAGACAACCCTTTATTTTATTGGACTCCTAAAATGTCTTGAGACAACCATTATGAAACCAATGAGAGAGAGACCCGAAAGCAATAAGCAGACCAGTGAGAGATGCCAACTAGAGTGCCCCTAGTGCTTACTGGTTTAAAAAAGCAACCACCACCACCACCCCCCAAAAACAATAACCAAAAAGCAGTCCAGCTTTCTCCCTGGGGAGTGTTTGTGGGCTGCAAATGTCATGATAACCTCTGCCATTCACTGTCTTCATGTCTATAGGTTTCAGAACTAGAGGAATCGACGAGAGCCTTGAACAGCAAGCATTTACATTCTCCAGAAAACCGTGTGGTGGAACAGAATGGAGAGGTCGCAGCTGCAGACGTCATTCAACTTCAGAAGGATAACAACCACCCCCCAAAAACAATAACCAAAAAGCAGTCCAGCTTTCTCCCTGGGGAGTGTTTGTGGGCTGCAAATGTCATGATACCTCTGCCATTCACTGTCTTCATGTCTATAGGTTTCAGAACTAGAGGAATCGACGAGAGCCTTGAACAGCAAGCATTTACATTCTCCAGAAAACCGTGTGGTGGAACAGAATGGAGAGGTCGCAGCTGCAGACGTCATTCAACTTCAGAAGGATAACAGAGAGCTGGAGCAGCAAATTGCTGAGAAAAACAAGGTGAACTGAAACAGCAGAAACAGCTGTTAGTCTTTCCCCTTTTAATTAGGAAGCCTAATAATTGGTGCTGCCCATGCTGCAGCCTTAGAAGGACAGGCTTGCCAAAATGGCAGATCCAATTTGTATCTGGCATTCTGTGAGTCAGTTTTTTTTCCTCTGGATTGTACAAGGATCTAGCAACAGTGGATAAAATGTGCAGCCAGAATTGTAGGAATCCTTACCTATTTTAGAGGAAAGTGAATTCAGTTCACTTCCACTGTGCTGTCACACGAAAGCCCAAGTATCCCGTCCCGTGCCTGCTAGTGTGTGCAGCTAGACAGGCGAGACGTTCAGGTTGCTTATTCAGAGCTGTCAATGTTGTTTAATGATTGTTTCATTCATTACACTTGTTTGCATGGGTTTTTCTAGATACCTGTGGGTCAAAATGTCCCGATAATGAATACTGTATTAACACTACCCTTTGCTCTGCTTACAGATGATAAAGCAGCTTCAGCAAAGAATGACAGAACTCAAGAAAACCCTCCAGAAAGAGTTGGTAAGGGCTGTGTTTTTTCAGTCTCTTCAGCTGGCACTTACTGACAGTTACTTGCACTACTAATTCCAAAAGCTTGACTGCTAGCTAGAGCATCATTTTTTTACTGGGGATGTTTGCAGGCAGATCAGTGAACACTTAAATTAAGGAAGTACGTTATTCTGGATCATTTATTGAATGGATGGTGTGACAGCAATCACAACTCAGCTCTTGCAATAGAGAATTTTAGCTTCAGAAGACCTGTGTTTGGTAATCTTGGGCATCTAATACATTTCTGTAGAGTGAACAACTGAGGTTTGATTTCTGCTTAGCTGCTGTTCAGCTAAGTTTTACCATGGGAGTGATCTCTGGCCCAGGGTAAGCTCCCCTTTAATCCCTCTTACAACAGTTTTTCCCTCCAAGAAAAAATTCTTCTATTTATAAAAAATTAACAGAAACTTTAAAATTTTCCGATGTTGTTATTTTTGTTCTGAGCTTGAAAATGCTTTTGGAGAAAGCCCTCCTTTGAAAGGCACAGAGCAGGCTAGCGATAAAAGAAAATTATGGGGTGATAGTTTCTACCATGGTGCCGGGTCCATGCTGGTTTGGGTAATGCACACCTAACGCTAACAGCAACTAGCTTCTGTCCTGGAGCCTGGGGAGAGGTGAAGGCACTCCTGCCATGATCCCACGAGGGGTGAGAAGCTCATCCTGTTGATGCCCAGGTTGTACCCACCTTGTGGGTACACGCCCTCTGTGTTAGGTGTCTTGGACCCGGATCCTCTCCCGGTGTCAATCTGACAGAGTCTACAATGTACTTCTCTTTTTCTTCTTTTTAGAAAATAAGGCCTGACAGTGAGGTACCTGAATTACGTGAAAAAGCAAATTCTGAAGTGCCTAATGCTTCTGTGACTGTCACAAACAACTCTGATTTAAATGACTCAAGGGAGATAAACTTTGAATACCTTAAACACGTTGTACTAAAATTCATGTCCTGCCGGGAATCTGAGGTAAAGATGTACACTTACCTTCCAAGTCCTGCCTTTCTCTAGAAACACCTGCTACCTGCGAAGGACTCTTCTATGCCGGTTCCGTACTTTTACACTTAAAAAGCTGTTGACTGATTTAGCACAATGAAGCAAAATAGCTAACAGTGATATGTTTGGAAGTACAGATTATTATGAACTAAATGAAAGGGAAATGTGAATTTTTAAGAGGTAGTTATGTCTGGGAGTTAAAGATCTGAAGCTACAAGACATTCCCTCTGCACCACTCTGAAAAGCATATGAAGTGTGTAAGTAGAGTGGTTGTACATTTAAGATGGCAAAAAAAAAACGAGAGAGAGACATAAATCACTTGCTGTTGATCTGTAAGAGGCAATTCCTTGTGCATTTGGAGCTCCTTCACATTCTCTGCATAGTGTCAAAAAAGTTAAAGGTAAAAAAGTCATGCCAACAACATACTTAATTGCAAGTCAGCGAGTGAGATCAAGAAATAATTGTGTGATTCCATGGTAAGCCGAGTGCTCGACTCTTTCACTAACTCTGCATTGTGTGTCCCATTTAGAATATTAGTACTGTAGAGTTAATGTACTTCCGTGTATGTTTAAAACGGCGTGCTGCTTTCCTGCCTGCACGCTGGTTTGATCAACTTTTCAAAGCTTAAAAGACCTAGGATGCCACAGGAGCCAAGCTGCCTCTCTGTTCTAACTAACTAGGCTCCCCATTTGTCTTCTTTCCCCAAACCAACGCAAACCAATGTTAAAGCACAGAAAGCCAGGGAACACAAACAGAAGAACTAAGATATAGGCCATCCCAGTCTGTTGGAACTGGGGATAACGGAAGGCTGCTGGTCTGCTCTTTGCAGCTGTGACTAGAAAGTCTGTGACCAAAGCTACAGGAAAACTGTGCTGCACCATAGCCCAGAATGTAGAGCCTGAGAGCATCATAAGCAACAAAATACTGTGGTTTCTTTCAGGCATTCCATCTAATTAAAGCTGTATCCGTGTTACTGAATTTCTCACAAGAGGAAGAAAACATGCTTAAAGAAACTTTGGAGTACAAGGTAAGGGTTTTGTTCCACTTGTAGTCACAAACAGGACTCCCAGCAGATGGAATGAAAATTCTTAGATGCTGGGAGATCATGGAAAGTATCTTTTCCAAAATTCGGCTACAAAAATAAATGTAATTTATTATTAAAATGTTAGCTAATCCCATATGTACATGTCAGAAACTGTCCCTTTTAGTGCGGGAAATGCTTCCCAGTGCTTCAGAGGACTAACAACCCAGTGGACGTGGTCCCTGGAGGGAAGCTAGAAGCTCCTTGCTGGAGTACAGTCAAATATTTAAAAGCAGGAAGCCAGATTCTTGGTTTGTTGTTTTGGTGTTGGGCTTAGATACCTAGATCTGTTTCTCCTTTCCGTTGTTCAGGGAACAGTTTAATACTAGATGACTAAACTGTGTTTAAATGACTGTAGGTTTGTAATTATTTTAAAGGACTATATGTAAGCGTAGTCTTCAGTGACCTTCCCGTGTGGAAAACGGGTGCTGTTTCTTCCAGATGGGGTTGTATGAAACTATCTTCACTTCTTCAGTCCAAAGTCTGCAGCGTTCTGCTTTATAAATAGTTATTTGCATCAAACGATGGGGAGATGCCTATGTTCTCTCTTTTTCAAATCTTCAGCTTCTTAAAAGTGTGAAGCTAGTGTAATGTTGTGCTTTCCTGTCCTAGATGTCGTGGTTTGGGTCAAAGCCATCTCCTAAAGGCAGTATCCGGCCGTCTATCTCGAGCCCAAGGACACTGTGGCCTTAAAGGAACCTGAAAACGGGCAGTCAGCACCTAGCCGCTTTTTTCTGTGAAAAGAACGCTGAACACACTAATTCAGGTGTGTCTTAATCACTGTCATTGCAGTATTTTGTACAAGAACTTTTGACACTGTTTACAAAACCAGTACTGTGCAAGGAGGAATTTTCACTGCAAACGGAAACACCTCTCCGGGTTGGATTTGGAGACCATTGTCTCGATGGTCTCTTGATGGAAGTCAGCTCCTTGTGCTCATCAGTCTTGTTTCCTTGGCACCAAAGGGTAACGTTAACCTCACTAACACTGGTGCTGGCAGTCCGAGCTTCTAACACGTGCGTCTGGTATGACGGTGATTCCAGCTTCTGTTGCGGAGGGCTAGAGTCGAGTAACTCGAGGCACAGTAAAGCTTCCTTGTCTCGCTGTGGAAAGCAAGCAATGAAAAAAACCCCGTTGGCAGTACTGTGTTGAGTTTGTGACAGTTTGAAAAGCCTTTCAAAGAACAGGAGCAGGAGCTTTAACCAAAAAAGACATCTGCCTTGCCTTGTTATACTGACATAACTAATAGTTTGCATTTTTTCATATCACTGTGTAATTTAAGGTGCATATATCCTGGCCTGCAGTCCTGAAGGCTGCATGTTGATGATGATTATTTAATTTGAGAGCACAACTTTAGAGTTGTCTGATTTTACTTTTCTTAAAGAAAAATAATATTTAAAATGGTCTTAATTATAGTACCTAATACTCGGTCGCCTTTAAAACTAATCTATTAGCCTGTACCATAGGTTGTTAGCATTGGGAAGAAGGGGTAGGAAACCATTTTAAATTTTTAAAGCTGAATTCCAGGTATTGTAAATGTAAACTGAGAATATCTTTTATTTAAAAAAAAAAAAAATTGTCTAGTGACAAAGGGTGAAGAATGTTGGTACTAAACACTTCGATATTTTTTTTTTCTTTTTTTTTCTTCTTCCAAGTCTGCTAGCAACAAATCTTCATAACCAGTATCCGCCTCTTTGGTTGTGGTTTTCTGTACTTCAAATACTGATGCTTAAAAACTGTTACGAACATGTAGTTGGCTGTTAACTGTGTCCTAACTACATGGTAAAAGAAATGCTGCTCATGAGGTTTTGGGTTTTGAGGGCAAAATTCAACTCTTAATGAATAAATCTTGGTTCCAGCAGCTTGCTTTCCTTCCCCCTTAAGAAAAGGGGACCAAGGTGGCACTTGCCTCACCGAGTGGAAGCACGGTTTTGCCCGTAGTTATTAGCACCACTGCAAAATCTAGATGAAAATGGGAAGCAGCAGTAAGTCTGGCTTCTTACAAAGGGGACATATCTTAAAAAACCTACAGATGTCTAGAATCTGATGAGCAGGCTGCAGTTCTGGTAATTCTCTTACGATGAGGTTCGTGTTACTAATAATACTTTTATGAAACATATTCAAGAAAATTCAGCCTGTCCTCTAGTGGAGAACAGTCACTGTTCAGGTTTTTAACTTTGCTTTGCTGACAGGGGCCGAGCGACCTCGGTGGTGGCAGTCGAGATGTAGTGTTAGAGTTACAGCACGTGAGCTGCTCCCTGCTTCCGTGCACACTCGTGCTGTGCTGAAGATAACAGTATCCTTCCACGTGAGGTCAGTTATCGGGGCGGTAAATGTGCTGCAAATCCGTAAACCCTGGCTGACCTCCCCCCTTCTGTTGATGGGCCGTATCCCAGGCACAGGTACTCGCGGTAGCCAGTGCTGTGGCACAAGTGACACTCCTCAGTTTAAAGCTAGGTTGTATTTATTTAAAGCTAAGAAAACCAACAGGGTTTTTTTTTAGTAGACTAAAGCTTGTCCAAACACAGCCTTTAGTAACCTGATCCGTGGCACTTAGCGACAGCATAGGGAAGTTTATGGGAGGAGTACAGCTCTGCTCTAATACGAAAATAGACAATCAAAAAGTGGGTGCATATCAATTGCTCCTGGACTGAAAGAAGCAGGGGCAGGATAACCCTGGCAGTTCTGGGAAGATTTTATTCTCCAAGGTCTCTTTCTGTAGAACATCCCTTTCCCCTGGCCTGTTTCTGTGGGACCCGAGAGCAGGGGACAGGATCCCCTCTACTCAGGCTGATGCCTGCTGAGCGACTAATCGGTTTATGCTGATCCTGGCTTGAAAGGTTACTGCTGAACAGTGAGAAAAGCAGCGCAGGCAGCCTAGAATAGAGGGTGGCAACCCAGAATCTTAAGATTCACTAACACAACTTCAATTTAAGATCCCAAAGCTCACGCAGGACCAGCTTACCCTAAGAACGCCTTCTTAAGTGTTGAATTTTCTTTCGATATCGGAGCAAGAATCGTGTGTATACATGTATTTAAAAGCTAATGCACTTTCCCTTGTATAAAAACAGTGGTATACATAATCCTTTCTATGGCCATTGGATTTCCTTCCTTCTATGCTGTAAATACGGATTGTATTATGAAACACTATGAAATTTGTGGTGCAATACATTTTGGATCAAAACCCTAATCTTGATTTCTTTCTCCTTATCGTTTTCGTTATCTCCCCTGGGATACTATAGCTATTTAAAATTGAGGGAATGTTAAAGCATCAAACAAAACCCACCTTCTGCCCCTGGTAAGAAGGGGGGTGTCAGCCACCTAGCAAAGGCCCCTACTTCTCACAGGGAGTTAGGCCAGGAATGAGGCCGAGTGCTTCTGCCTCTGCAAATCCTCTCTCACCGGGGACAGCTGCTGCTGCTGCCCTTTTAGCAGCTGACAGAAACAAAGGCTGAATGGAGCAGGGTATCCCTGAGCAGCTGCTTCGCGTGGAGTACGCGCATCCCTGCCGAAAGGAGGGCTCCATCCTGGCAGATAACCCCGCCGGACTCGGGGCCAGCCGAGCCCCAGGGACGCCGTACAACCCCTGCGCTCTTGCCAAGCCTCCTGTAGCTGACGGTGGAGACAGCGATGGTTTGAACAGTTGTGTCCTGCTGGACAAATCAAGGCTAAACCACACGTGCACGCTGACTCAAAGGAAGCAGATCGCTTTGCTATACCCAGATCCTTCAGAAGGCGAGGATGCGCTAATACAGAAATACATTCTGAAGTATTTTCCTGACTTTCTAGGATGGACAAGAATATAAAAATCAAACCATGAGTGATTATGTATTATATTCACTGAGTTTTAGAAGCCTCGATGAGAACAGCGGAGCTTGGTCTCCCTCCAGCCAGCATAGCTGGATTTGAGGACAAACTCTGTAGATAGCTGGAGCTAAGAGCATTCATGCAAAGGTGGACGCCTAGCTTAGCGCTGATGTAGTGCTGGCCTGCTTTTGAGTAAGTGTCAGACTTACGATTTAGCGAAAAATAAATTACTTAACTCACGTGATCCAAGAACTTTATTGATGCAGCAGGCACTTTACAATGAAACCAACCCCGTGGCCCAATTCGTCCTTTGACCTTCCGTACAAAACCACTTCTCCGTACAAAAACGCTTCTCCCGCCCGTGAGCTGTCAGGATCTTGCATCTGCCAAGGCCACAGCCACCTCTTCAGTAAGCAGCGCACGCGGCTCTTCTATTGCCGCACCTGGATAAAGCAGCATCTGAAAATACCTGTTCACTTACAGTAGTAGGAGGCAGGAGCGTGCCTTCTCCCTGCCTTTTAAAGAAGGGATCAGGAGAATGTCTTGGCTTCTGTGTTTGATAGTCGGAATATGCGGGAATACCTTTACTCTTCCCCCACTTTTAAGGTTAAAAGCATTCCAAGAGGAGGTGTCCATAGTATTTCAGTGGATTGCAGTCTCCAGTAAAGATGGACCAGTGTCATTTCAGCCGATTCCTTCTTCTGAGTCCAAAACCGATCGTCGTCTTGGTTCAAGTTCACAGCCTTTTAAACAGTCTTTCTTGCTGTAAGAACTCGTACTATGGAACCTAAACCTCCTGCTGCTAATGCCTGCGGGGACGGGAAAGGGAGAGAGGGGTTACAGAGTCACCGCGTCACGCAAGGCGTCTGCTACGTCGCACACAAAACGCGTCTTAAAAGAACAAACAATTGCGTGTTTAATAACCGACAAGTACATGGCTCTTCTCCACAAACTTACTTTTCACATGCAGGCAGCTTGGGCTGTTCCACCTCACTCCGCCCCTTTTTTGCTCTCAAGTCTTTTGAAACAGTTAATTGGGGAAAAATCTATTTTTTCTCTAGCACATGCAGACATTAAAGACGGGGGAGCTCAGACCTGAGCTCAGATCCTTGCTTGTTCCAGTCTTGGGAAGTTTGTGCCTCACTTCCCCTCTGTAGATGCAGATGAGAGTATCTTTGACTCACATGACTGCAGGACCTATGCAGTAATGCTCTGTACATGTACTCTGATGTAAGAGATGAGGGACTGAAGGGTAGACAGAACCAAATACAATAACTCAGTAACCCATATACCATTAAATCTGAAAATGACATTCTCCAAAATCTAAGCGACCATCCTTTGGATCTAGAGATGGATACCCGTGTTGCACGTCACTGACACTGCAGGATGTCTCACCTCCCCTGTCCCTGAAGGGGAAAGGGCTCGGTTCAGTTTCATTTGCATCCCTCTGTGTGAATAACATACCTGCCTAGTTGAGAAGAAGATGGACTTGATTAGGAAAAAATAAATATTAGAGCTGACTGCTTAAAGCAAGGCCTGCGACCCTTGCAGACATAACTCAAACAGAGCCCAGTGGGTATCACAGTGCGTGGCACAAGAACAAGGGTCAGCAGCACGAGACCCCTCGCTGTCGTTGGGAAACCGATGACTGCACAGCGTCCACTCGGCGCAGAACCTGCCTGCGCTGTACGCCTGGGAACGCTCCCCAGTTACCAAACCGGGCAGGCATGGGACGAGAGCCAGGCCTCTTCAGAGGAGGGGTGGGTCCTGCTCCCGAGCAGCTGACTCCTCTCTGAGCAAGCCACCCGCCTTACCGGTAGTGCCGTGAAGCAGCACACCAGCAAGGTTTTAAACCCTGCCCGGCCTGCTTCAGCCCTGCCGCCTTCCTTTCGAAACAAAGAGGATGAGACGCTCTACGTGCGCCTACACGCTCTGAGCACCGTCACCCTTCCAGTCAGGGGGGTGGTGTGTAACGCTACACACCGGGGCACCCACCCACGGTTACCTGAAAACAGTCTCTGGTGGAAACAACAACAGGAAAAAGAGAAAATAATAAAAAAAGAAAACCAAGCAGAGACGCGTTCTTTGCTGTCCTGAGAAATTCCCTCCTCCTCCTCCCCTGTCAAGGTCCTGCAGAGCCGGTGACCGCTGCTAGCAGCTGGAGTGGCTGCACAAAGCGTGTCTTTAGGTATCGCAGGAAGAAACCCGTGCTGTGTGACAACAGCAGCGGCATTAGTAGCAGCAGGCTGCGCTGCTACAGCGCCGGTGGTGCAGGGAACGGCAGCGTTCCCGGGGCTGATGTTCCCAGGAGCAGCACCGGCAGCTGCTGCTGCAGCTGAAAGCCCTGCAGCTGGGGGAGACGTCACTCGGGGTCCTGGCTGCAGGTGGTGGCACCGCGCAGCCGCCTCGTCCCCTCCGCGGGGGGGTCACTCAGCAGCCAGCGAGGAGCACGTCCCACCCTCCGCAATGGTCACTTCACAGCGTCGCGGGGGGACCACTCCGGAGCCCAGGGGAATCTCTCTGGAGATCTCCAAAGCCTCTCCTGCGCAAACCAAGCAGGTTTGCTACCTCCTGTTGCTGAGCTGTGCCGTGTTGGCTGCTGACAGCGCTCGGCTGATGAAAGCTGCCAGACCTGAGCCGAACACTTGGGCTCCGGAGGAGCGCTGCCCGCTGCGCCGCTCAGCCACCCACGCCTCCGCTCCCAGCTCCTTCCCCTCGCTGGGGCCTCCGCGCTCACTGGCGCAGAAGGCGGCGCAACGCTTCCTCCTGCCCCGGGTCTTGCCTCTCCCCTGGCTGAGGGTAAGCGCCAATGCACAGGCAGAGCCTTAACGAGTCCAAGCTCAGCGAGACCAAAGATAAAAGGAAACGCCCGTCGTGGTGCTGCCCGGGGACGAGCCCCCTGCCATCATCAGCCTCCTCTCATCAAAGTGCTGACAGGGACCCTGCAGAGCGTGGCCGAGCCGAGAGCACCCAGCACCTACCTTTTCATGCCACTGAAGTAATATTGCACTGCTATTTTCTGTCGGCTTTTCAAATCCTTTATAAATGTACTTCATTAACAAGTCAACGCCATTTCTGTCTAAGGAATTCACTGCTTGCTCTATTTCACTGCTTTTAAAAGACGTGAGGACTTTGAGCATGGTTCCCTGGGCCTGCTCCTGCGAAGACAGGGAAAGGAGGAGAACGTGAGGACCTGCAGAGCTGGGAGGGATCCCACAGCCTGGGTCCGACAAGGCCACGCTGACCGGACCCCTGGCCACGCTGACGGCTGTGTGTTTCTGTAGCCGAGTGGGCGAGCGTTTTTCACTCCGGGTGTCAGGAGGAAGGGGGGAACGCGAGGGGATCGCCCACGCAGAGAGCGTGGCACAGCGCTCTATCGCTCGTTAGCGGCGCCAGGGGCTGATTGGGTCCCTGGGGCATCGCTGCGTCACGGCAAGGCCCCGGGCGCCCCGCTGCTGCCCCC